GCTTTATAAGACTTTGGCTAGGCCACACTTAGAATACTGCATTCAGTTCTGGTTGCCACAATACAGAAAGGATTTGGAGGCTTTGGAGAGGGTGCAGAAGAGGTTTACTAGGATGCTACCTGGATTAGAGGGTATGAACTGTAAGGAAAGAGTAGAAAATCTCAGGTTGATTTCTCTGGAGCAGTGGAGGTTGAGGGCAGACTAGATAGAAGTCTATAAAATGATGAGATGTGTAGATAGGGTTGACGCTCAGAATCTTTCTCCCAGAGTTGAAATGTCTAAAACTAATGGACATGCATGTACGGTGAGAGGGGGAAAGATCAAGGGAGATGTGACGGGCAAGTTTTTTACACAGAGAATGGTAGGACTGTGGAACGTACTGCCTGGGGTGGTGGTGGAGGCAGATACGATAGGCGTCTTTAAGAGACTATCAGATAAGCACATGAATATGCAACGAATGTAGGGATATGGACCAAGGGCAGTCAGAAGGCATTAATTTAATTTGGCATCATGGTCGGTGCAACGTCATGGGCCAAAGGGCTCATTCCTGTGCTGTACAGTCTACGTTCTATGTGATGTCAAAAGTATTTTCTTATCCTGACGATCAATAGCCTAAGAAAATTGCCTTGATTTTACATATCTTAAGTTAAATATTTGTTTAAAGATGACCTAACTGACAAAGCAATAGTAAAAAAAAGTCAAGAATGCAATAATTCAGTGTTGAACCTATAGTAGTTTTATTTTCTTTCTACTGATACATAACCTTGATAAATGTATTCTATTTATTATGTCAAATTATGCATTCTGCCAGAGAAACCTTGCAATTTATCCATTTACCAAATTTTCATCTTGCAGCTCCCAATAGTTTTGTTTTAGGTTAAGTTTTTTTTAAAAAAGTCTTCAGATAAAAATAGTTGCCAAATTTTGGCTTAATCTCTCAGTTTTGAGAGTTTTCACTTGCATTGACCTAAGTGTAGATCAAAGATGTTGCTTGAACCCTTGCTCAAAAATAGGGTCAGACAAGGAGCAGAGTGTTGTCAGTGAGTGAGACACTTGTTGCTATCTAGTTCTATTCCATATAACATTATTGCATGGCCATTTTCTGAATTTGCAGAGAATCTCATCTGCTGGGACTGCAAACAAAATATTTGATCACACACTATTTATGGTGAGAATGTACCAGAAATTTTGACTTGTGCTGCCTGAGTATGAGGCTGTCTACCAAATGCAAGACATTGAAAAATTGCACTGTTTAACTACTCCTAACACTTTTCAAAATGTAACCATTAAGTCAGAGACACTGGAGTAAATTTTGACTTGGTGCGATAGTGTAAGCTTCCTGATTTTTATTTCCATTAAAGTCTGCCAATTTACTTGTTATTCAGTTGACACTATTGTACAAAGTCAAAACGTACCTCTCTGTGTCATTAATGTTTAGTTAAGCTCATCTTCTAGAGATCAAGACTGGCACTTTAATTTCTGCAGACATTCCAATTGTTAAACTAACCTTGGAAAGATCCACAGAAGCACAGGAGAAATAGCATCAACAGCTGTTTTTCTGGAGTTTTTAGTTATAGTAAAACTATTGCCAAAGTTCAAAGTTCAACTCCATTCTGTTTGCGTTCACTATAAAACAATAAATGTCAATAAAAAACAAAGTCTAATGATTAACTCAATAGACTGAGTACTCCACAAGTCACTAAAAAGTAGACAAAGTGCTCAAACGGTCAAAACCTAGCAGGGGGAGGTGGTGGCCTGCTGGCATTATCACTGGATTGTTAATCCACTGACCCCAGAAAATATTCTGGGGACCTAGATTTGAATTCTACCACAGCAGATGGTGGAATTTGAATTCTAAATATGGAAAAAAAAGCTTGGAATGAAGAGTCTGATGAAAACCCCCATCTTGTTTGCTAATGCCCTTTAGGGAAGGAAACTACCATCCTTTCCTGGTTTGGCCTACATGTGACACCAGACCCACAGCAATGTGATTGACTCTTAACTGCCCTCTGGGCAATTAGGGATGGGCAATAAATTCTGCCTAGCCAGTGATGCCCTCATCCAATGAATAAAGGACGAAAATGTCTTCACATGTAGAGAGAAAATTTGTGTTTATATTATGCTTATTGTGATCTGAGGTCCCTGGACCCAAAGCACTTTAAGGCTAATTAACTATTTTTAAAATGTAGTTCCTATTGTAATGTAGGAAATGCAAAGGGCATATTGATGCACAGCAAGCTCCCACAAACAGCAATGTGGTGCTGACTAGATGATAAGACTTTGTTTAGTGGTTTGGTTGAGAGATAAATACTGGCCAGGACTTCAAAATAACCTTCTTATTCAAAGTGTTTTGCTACAAATGAACTCTTCTCTATTTGAAATCTAGAGGAAGCAAAATTAGTCTTCATTACCATTCTGAAATGGGTAATAACAAATCAGAAGCCTGATATACATCATCACCAATTACCTTTGTGTTGAAATCAATGGGAATGAAATTTAGGCACACTATCACTACCATCTATTTATGTTACAAATTAAAACCAACTCTATCTCATGAAATTACATCTATAATAAACTTCAAAATGCTTTCTTTAATATCATCTGAATGCATAAAGTTCACCAATAATGCAATTAACTAATGACATCAATAATTATTTGAGCATTTTAAAGACAAAACAAAAATATGTAACTGAATTTCAGGAACAGTGAGTTATAAAGCTCAGATTATTGGAAACCCATCATGAACTGGTTGGTGGTTACCTAGTCTAAGTACTAGTGCCAGGGCAGATCTCGTAAGAGCTCCTCAGCCACATTTCCTCACCAGGATATCACCCCTGACACCTTACATAATAATCAGGAAAGATAACCCTAACTGGTGTGTTTCACCATCCAAGCCCAATGTTATTCAGGTCAACTGCACAAACTTATTACTACCCTTGCTAAAACCAGCTAATGTAGAACAGATCAAGAATCAAAAGTGGGATTTTTGCGTTTGCTTTTCCTTTGCTCTCGTCTAGGTATCAAGTGTAATCTCTAGAAGAAAAAATACCAGAGGCTAGAAAGCTCACTGGGCAGGTATAAGCATTGCCTTTGGGGCATGTGGACAATTAACAGAACAGAAAAATATGCTTGCTTATGTCAGCTTAATACTACAATTGATGGCATATATACTATATAAATTGCTGTTGCTAGAAGTCCCTCAGGCTTTTTAACTCTTTAACACATCAAGCAGTAAACAGCAGCTGCAGTTTACACAAAAAATCAGAATCAGCAATGTTAATTCTGCCATCACCAGGATTAATTTTATTCAACCGGAAGTTCTGCAGCAAACCAATTTTGGGCCAAGTCCAGTTGAGACTTGGAAGCTGCTATGCTTTTTGTACAGATTCCAAGGCACAATTGCCCTGATACTGCATAATGCGAGACCAGCATATGTACATTTAACATACTTGAAATTCCTCCCTCCTTTAATTTAGTGTAGGCATTAATCAATTCATTTTAAATGGGGTTAATACTATGCTAAAATATCAAAAGGAAGAATCTCAAATGAACATCAAATGTTCCTGCTTTAGTATCCCATTGTCAATATCAGGGCAAATGTAATTTGGACATACAGCAATCACTATCCATCATTTGTAATTACAAACATCCTAGCTGCTCTCTATGCCCCTTATTATCACAATCTACTCACACACTGCTTATGTTTGAAAACATCAGTTTGTTCTGTGGGAGTGAAAGACAGTTTCACTTTCCGCCAGAGCAATAGCTCACACCAGTGAAAACAATAGAAGAAATAATGGATAATGGAGTCAACTACAACTGTAATCTAATTCATGGATTTAAATAGCTCATACAAAATAAAAAATGGATAGCTATTTCTGAATTCCTGGTCTGCAATCTGCCTCAATGGATTTGGGTGGTTATAGAAAATAACAATAGATAACTGGGAGAGATGTACATGTCCATAATCTAAAACAAGGCATTGCAAAGATTAATATAAAACTGTAACATGTACTAGGAGACAGCTGTAGGTTGTAGTTTATTCATGGGATTCATATAGAACCAGTAGAGAGTAATAGATAACTGGGAGCGAGATATCATGTTGAGTCTAAATCAAAGGCTTTCAGATTAATGTAAATCATTGAGTTCAGATGATTATGTAAAAAATAATGGGTGCTCAGGAGTGAAGTTCAGGCTGTAATCAACAGAAAGGGTTAAATGGTGAAATATTGAGTCTTGCATACTAGAGCCAAGTTTCGGTTGACAAACGGCTTGAATGTCTTTGGATAATATTAAGCCAAGTAATTCATGGCTACAGATTGCGTCACGAATCAGAGGAGCAACTGGAACTGAAATTAGACAGCAGCCTGAAAATTACTCCCTGCTACATGTTCATTGTATGAGACACTTAATATCAGGAGACATGCATGTTTTGTCCATTTCTAGGGCTATAGTGGCTGCCAGTGCGTATGGTTCTTGTTCTTGCTGCAAACCTTCCAACTCACATTCACTGCAAAGGTGACAGCCCAGTTCCTGTACAAACATTCACATTTTTAACAATGATACACACTTACCTCATTGTTTAGTTTACTGGCACACTTTGTATCAAACTGAATGAATGAAGGGAACTGTGATAAAACAGAATTTGGCAGCACCTTGCTTCTTCTGCACCTGGCTCAGTTTTTGCACTCACAATAAATTGGAAGGTCTGCTGTTGGGTGCTTTCCACGTATAACACACGATGACATTCACACAAGATAATGAACAGTTGTGACTTTATCAGTGCAAGTTTATTCAGAAATTAACTCATAATTGGTTACACGAGGAATATATCCGCACTGTAATATGTATTTATGTGGAAGATGCTAGCACGGAAGGCTGCTTGTTGTTTGGTCCCCATGTGCATATTCTGGGCATTATTATAACACAAGCTGTCTGGCCAGTTATGTTGTTCTAAACTGCAAATCTTAAATAATTTGGCATGGAAAATTCAAACCCACCTTTGTTCTCAACTTTGAGGTCTTCCTGAAGGAGTTCATTTTGTCGATTCCCAAGTACGAATGCCAGGAAGGAGAGGATTAATGCATCCAGAATGCCGATGATAGCCAGGATATAGGCCCAGCGCACAGAACAGTTTCCCAGTGTGTATTTCCCTGTTTTATTTCCGCACATCTTTCTCACAGCTTCCGAGTCCCATCCATCAGGAAATATCATGCAGCCCAAAACAAGACAAACAGCTAAGGGAAGGATGGAGGAAAGGAAAAGAAATTGAAGTCAGGCAAAGATGTTGAAATGGAACCTTACAACATAAAATCTTCTCCATTATTAATAAAACCAATATAGTTTAAGTATATCTGGCACTTTAACAATCCGTGAAACTTCTGATGGGAATTCTTTAAAGTGGCTGAGTCGGTAATTCTCAAATGATAAGAAAATTGTTAACATAAACTTTTCGAAAACTATTATTTAATATCGTAGAAATGTTAATTTTAGTAAGTGAGTGTCAATTGTCGTCATCAAACAAGATTGCTTGCTATTTACCTGAGAAGCTGCAGGCTGCTTTCTTTTTCAGACATATCAGAGAGTAGATACTTTTCTAGAATGCCAGCTTACTATCTTCCATCGAGATGTTTGGTAATTAAATTCAGTGTTCTAGCTGTGATAAAACACCCTTCTTGGCACTGTGTTCTGACTATGATCATCTCTCAACATTCCCAGCCTCCCACTGACCATACACACACATACACACACACACATCTATTTCTTGTTAACAACACCCACACAGTGGGGAACACTACTTAATATACAGACACTTTTTTATGAGTAAGTAAGACTTTATCATCTGCCAAGGTAAAAACTCATGTAAATTAGGAAAGGTTCTGCACACACTAAACAGGAGACTTACAGTTCCTTAGGACCTGCTTTCTACCTGAAGGATGGGTTATGGGCAGCTGAAAATCTGGTGAGGATATTCTACATCTACCTTCAGGCAGGACTTCAAATGACTTCAAAACCGCAGAGTCTAGAACTGATGGTTACAGTCTCAGGATAAGGAGTACACCATTTATGACTGAGATGAAAGAAATTTCTTCAGCTAGAGAATGGTGAGTCTGTGGAATTGTCTGACACAGAAAGTGGCTCAGGCCAAATCATTGCATGTTTCTATGAAGGAAGTAGATGTAGTTCCAAGAGCTAAAAGGGTGAAAGGGTATGGGGAGAAAGTGCGAACAGTACACTGAGTTGGATGATCAGCTATGATCATGTTTAATGGCAAAGCAGGCTTGAAGGGCTAAATGTCCTACTCCTGCTCCTGTTTTCTATGTTTCTGTGTTGGTACTCATAGTGATGTGTGATTAACACTACTACCCACAACAGGTGACAGACCATCGAAATCCTTACAGTCCTAAACCTGCTGTATGTTCTACCCTTTTTGAGCCTGAACTGCAACTTTGAAAGGGACACTGAAGTAACCCATTTCTGTATCCTGTAAGACCTGGCCAACTTACAGGCTTGGGGTGATAATTAGCAAGTATCATTTGTGCCAGGCCATGACCATCTTCAACAAGACTGCATTAAATTATCTTCCTTGAGGTTCAATGGCAATACCATTGCGAAATTCTCCCAGCAACAGTCCAATGGCCATCATTGACTAGAACCTTAACTGGATTTCTGCTTTGAACACTGTGGCAGCATGGACCGGCCAGAAGCTAGAAACTTGTGCCAAGCTACTCACTTCCAGAAACCACAACATGCATCTACTATTTACAATGCAGGTCAGACCCAAAGAACTGCAGTCTCTACCACCGGTAAGGCAAAGTGACACGTCCCAGCTTCACACCAGGGATTGAACCCTGAGCTGTTGGCACCAATCTAATCCAACCGACCATCAAACTAACTGGGCCACTCAGCACATCCCCTCAAGAGTCTGGGCTTCATATGGCAACACTTACTTTCATGTGCACAGGCATTTTAGATGGAATGTGCGTGGGGAGAGGGGGTGATGGCTTTGTGGTATTATCACTGGACTATTAATGTTGAGACATGGCAGATGGAGGAGTTTGAATGCAATTAAAAAAAGTCTGGAATGAAGATGACCATGAAACTGTTGCTGATTGTCGGGAAAAACTCATCTGGTTCACTAATGTTCTTTCAAGAAGGAAATCAGCCATCCTTACCTAGTCTGGCCTACACGTAACTCCAGACCCACGGCAATATGGTTGACTCCCAACTGCCGTCTGGGAAATTAGGGATGGGTAATAAATGCTGCCCTGACCAGTGATGTCCACATATCAGGAGTGAATATAAAAAGAAGGGTATTATCGCTGATTCTAACTGCTGACACTCTGTATGTGACTTGGTGACCTATGCACCAAAATGGTCAGTCAGTTGGTGGGCAATGGCTGCCCAGCCATTAAAACTGGAGGGGGGACTAGGGGAAGTTATTGAGGAGGTGGGGAGGAAAGTGTGTGAGGTGGGGATGGTGAAGATGTGGCCTAGGGTTTCCTGTGGGGCTAAGTGGTTTATTGTAACATGCCAGCGTCAGATTTCAGCACTGAAACCTTCACCTGGTGTGCTTAGGTCTGCTGCTAGTCTTCATGCAGTTTAGCACTGACTGTAAGGAGCAACAGGAGCAGAAGACAGACAAATACAGACTATGTTTGGGAAACTCCTGCCAGCTCCAATCTGTTCTCACTAAATTATGGAATCCTCAGTCTAGTCATTTATTCACAGGCTGATTCACACGCTCTCGATTTCAACAATTCATGCTGCTGACTGCCACGATTTTCTTTGGCAGGTCCTGGATACACAACATTTTTATTCATAGTCTCTGATTCACCAGGAAGCTTGGGTTCAACTCCCACCTTATCCAGAAGTGTGTAATTGCACCTCCAATTCTTGTCACAAAATTCTCCCATACTGTGGCCTTTTATCACTGAACCAATCACTTGCTTTTCCTGCCCACTCCCTGCTTAGTGCTGGATGTAGATTTGAACACCTTCATCACTTTCTTTCTTTGAAATTGTATTATATTTCCACACCTATTATGTTACAATCCTGATTTATGGATGATAGCAGTCCTAAAAAAAAGGCCTTACATTTATGTTGCACTTTTCATGACCCACTGGATATCTCAAAGTGCTTTACAGACAACAAAGTACTTTTGAGTTGTAGTCACTGTTGTTATACAGGTAAAGGCAGCAGCAAATATGCATATAGCAAGCTATCACAAACAGCATTGTGATAATGACCAGATAAACTGTTCTTTAACAATATTGATTGAAAGATACATATTAGCTGGAGCACCTGTGATATCAGCCTTCCCACCCCCTTGCAAACAGGTCTTCATTGCGTGCCATGAATTATTTTATACCCACCTGAGCAGGAAGATAGATTGTGATTTATTGTTTCACCCGAATGACAGTATCTCTGGCAATGCAGTACTCTTTTTGTATAGCACTACAGAGGCAACCTTACAGTGAACGTGAAGTTGAATGTTGGTGAAAAGAGAGACTTTATTTTCTGTTAATTCACAGGATTATCCATCCCTATTTGGCAGGGGGCAGTTAAGAGTCAACCATATCAGATAAGGATAGCAGTTTCCTAAAGACATTACTGAACCAGATAGCTTTTCCCTCCAACAATCATCTCATGGTTATTGTTAGACTCTTAATTCAAGATTTTTATTGAATTCAAATTCCATCATCTGCCTGGGATTTGAACCCATGACACCAGAACATAATCTGGCTTACTAGGTTAATAGTCTAGCGATAATTCAACTAGGCCATCACCTTACCCTTTTCTTGTTGCACTCATCAAAATAAATGTAAGAATGCCAAATTTCAGATGATGACAACAATTGATACTACAAAACGACAAGGATAAAACACATGGAATATTTTTAAGTTTTGTGTCTTTTTAAAAGATTATCCAAGAGCTTGGAGAGCCTATACATTTTCATTTCCTTCTACAGGACAAGGTTTTGGCCACTCAGAGCCAACTTGCCGACCAATCAGTACCCTTTTCTTCTGAAGTATAATTGGTTGGGACTGTTTGAAATTTGGCATTCTTGCATCTGTCCTGATGAATGCAGGACTAAAATCTTCAGTATCATTTTTCCCTTTCTAGCAATATTCAAGTTTATACTGTCAAATTCCTGTTTCCCAACAATAACTTGCATTTATGCAATAAATGTAGTGCATGTTGTGAAGCAAAATCTATGCAGTAGTAAAACGTTCCAAATTGTGACACAGAGTCTGATAAGATAACACTTGAACAAGTGACCATAATGTTGCTCAAACAGGAAGGTTTCAAGGAGTGTCTTCAAGGAGGAAAGAGAGGGGTTTAGGGGGACAATTCCTGAAGTTAGGCTTTACAGTTGAAGGCATGTCTTCCGACATGGAGAGATAAAAATTAGGATGCCCAAGGTTGGAGTTGAAGGGCTATAAATGAGAGAGGTGGTGATGGCCTAGTGGTATTATCACTAGATTAGTAATCCAGAAACACAGCTAATGTTCTAGGGGCCCGAGTTTGAATCCTACCATGACAGATGAATTCAATTAAAAATGAATGTGGAATGAACAATCTACTGAAGACTATGGAACACATTGTTGATTGTTGGAAAAATCTATCTGGCTTCGGGAAAGGAAATCTGTCATTCTCACTGGGTCTGGCCTATGTGTGACATACAACAATTTGGTTGACTGTTAACTGCCCTCTGAGGTGGCCCAGAAAGGTACTCAATTGTATCAATTGCCACAAAGTCTCAACAAAGAAAGGAAGCCGGATGGACCAGCTGGCATCAACCTACGCACCGGAAAAGACAACGGCAGAAACAGTTCTGCTGACCCTGCAAAGTCCTCTTTACTAATATCTGGGGGCTAGCACCAAAATTGAGAGAAGTATGGAATTATACCTGACAGACAATGTCCCTGACACCAACATCACCGTCCCTGGATATGTCCTGCTGTACTGATATTAAGGCTGCATTTGACCGAGTGTGACATCAAGGAGCCCTAGAAAAGGGTATTGGGGCAAACTCTCTGCTGGTTGACGTCTTACCTGGCACATAGGAAGATGGTTGTGGTTGTAGGAGGTCAGTCATCTCAGCTCCAGGCCATCTATGCAGGAGATTCTGTCCTATGCCAAAATATTTTCAGCTGCTTTATCAATGACCTTCCCTCCATTATAAAGTTAGAAGTGGGGATGTTTGATGATGATTGCACAATGTTTGGCACCA